GCCTCGCGGATTCCCCGGTCACTAAACTCATATACATATGAGTTTGGGACCCAGGTTTGGCGTGCAGGCCTGCACGCCAACTGCAGGGTCAATCTACCCTGCAGCAGATTGGCGTGCAGGGGCGCACGCCAATCTGTGCTTGGCATGCAGATTGGCGTGCGCCATGGGGGTTGGCGTGCACTTATCAACCCCCTTGGCATTTTAAACAAAACAAATGTTTTTTTAGAAAAAAAAAGTTGTTTTTTGAGTGGGATTTGACAGTAATCTGAATCAGGGAGGCTGAGTTGTAATTGGTTGTAGGCTATGAGGATGCTTGATAGCTCAGCAAACCCAAGGTTCATTAATTTTGGGGAGGCTCAGCGAGGTTGGAACAAATCCAGATTGGATCAAAGCAATCTGAAAGCAATGGCCTGTGTCACATCAGCTCTTCACTTGCTGGGTGAATGGCCAGTTCAGTCTCCAACATCAACACCGGTGTTAGAAGCTGCATGAGAAATCAATCCAAAGCTGAATTGAGGGTCGACACCGAGTTTAAAAATCCTGACGGTTTGTGGTTTCTCAGTTGAGTGACCTGACCAAGTCTAGATTGCATTTAATTTCAAGCTAAAGAAATGAGACTTTAGCTCTATTTCTAACCATCCACATTTTCAATGGCACTATCATCAGCCCTCCTATTTATGACATTGCAAAAGAGGGCCTAACCAACGATGGGCAAGCTACGCTAACTGTAGCATTAGCGTAGCGTAGTGTAGCACAAAATCACTACAATTTAGTGTAGCAATAGTGCTTTTTTTCAATTTCTGCGCTAACTCTACGCGTATGGGGCAAAAAATTGTGCTAACGTTTAGCGTAGCGTTAGCGCAATTCCCCCCATCTGCACTAATGCTACGCGCACAGGGCGCAAAAAGCCCGCCCGTTACGCTGCGTTACAGCAATTTTGAGCGGTTCTTAGGCGTTTTTTTTGCGGCTAAAAACGCTGTAGCGTAGCGGCGCCAGAGGCACGCTAACACTACACCAAAAAATGGCTAGTTTCAGCGCCACTACAAATTAGCGTAGCACAGCGGCAGTAGCGGCGCGCTAACACTACACAAAAAAATTGGCGCCGCTACGCTAACGCTACATGGGCCCGTAGCGTAGTGTAGCGTAGCGGCCCACCGCTGGCCTAACCAGATTTAAATCTCAGCAACACATAAGTAGTAATAAAAGTGGAACTAACTGATTATTAAAAAAGAAGTTGAAACACATATCTTCTGGTACTTTCCAAATGCTCAAACAGGGGCAGACCCTGCAAGTTGCAGCAGGCAATACCATTTCAAGGATGATGGCACAAGGTTCTGAGGGAATATTGTATGGCACATAATATGATGGGTTAGTCTTATTCAGACTGTCACTTGGTATTGTTTATAATGTGATTGTCTATAACATAAAATTTCAGTGTTATGTGATGAAGAAAGACAGGATACAGGAATCAACCAAGTTGGTTTATGTTTGTATGTACAGATATTGGAAACATAAGTCTTAGTAAACAATTGTCAGAGAAACCCATATAATTGCTCATGTGGGAAATTTCAAAATGGCTGATAACTGAGGATTGATCTTCTTTATCTGCCAATGGTAATACCACGGATTCTCAATTGGAAATCAAAAACCTGGAAATTCATCTATGGATATAAGAAGCGCACAGGATCAGGAGGTTGGATTACAGTAGTGCAGTGAAGAGAGGTTGACAATGATGACTTGGATCAATTTGGTGGATTTTGTCCGCCCTTCTTGCTATAAATCAAAACTCAAAAGTCCAAGTCAGTATCCATACTTCTCTTGAATCAAGTCACAAAGTATCAATTATGGCTGGTAAAAAAAGCTCACAAGTCCCAAGTGTCAATGTCAATCTCAGTAACACCACTCTTAGGATCTCCACCAAGTTCTATGAAAGTCTGTGTACAAAAAGAGCAACCAAAGTACAGTACCAATATCAATGAATGGACGGAATGAGATGTGCGCCTCTTTTTGGTTAAGAAGCTCCGCTTGATATACTCACCGCTCTTGTAACCCATATGGTGGAGCAGCCTTCCTCAATGCTGAGTTTCTTTGTATCTGAAAAGGGGCATCCATCGAGTGCTCTTCCCTCAGCGCGTATATCTTTTCGGTTGATGAAACTGAAAGATTTTAAACAGGTCGACATGATGAGTATCACTATGAAATATATAGAAGGCTTTTAAGAGGGGGGAGGGAAATGAAGTGGAAACTCACAGTTCTCTTTTACAGTTTTTCGGGTGGGCGCTAGCAACAGATCAAAGAGAAAGTTTTAGACGTTTGATCATTCGGAAAAAAAAAAAATCGATTCTGATGGATGGTCGACGTACCCAGTGAGCCAACCTGAAGATAAACCCTTAGGTAGAGGCGAATCCATGTTTAGTCCCGTCCATAAGCAAGCCCCTTTAGAGTCGTCGGTGTAGGTGAATCCGCAAGCCTATTGATATCATCTCCATACATCTCAATTCTCCCAACAAACCAAGATCAAAAGCATCAAGAAAAATCACACTTACACCCAGTCCTGGCTTCACCCAAGTGGTCTTTTGATTCACATTATCGTGAGATCACAGGGGGGGGGGGGGGGAATAACCGGGTTGTTTCACTGGCTTCAATCTCTTATTGCTAGAGTTTTTATTGTTTGTGACAGGGTTCTTACTTACCCTGATGGTGGAGGACTTTCCTAAGATTCGTCCGGGACCTCTAAATTGTTCTCTTTTGGCCTGCAAAGTATCAAGGGAACAGTTCAAGAACCCATTCATCTAATCGATCTTTGAAACTATACAGAAACCTACCAAAACAGCTCTCATCCTGAGTTTATTGCCTGCTTGCAATTTCTTCTTGTACCACTCTCCACAAACGGTAGTGCTTGTGCTCCAAGCTACCAACACAGTGAGCGTGATGGTAAGTGCTAATAGAAGTTTGATGTACGATTGTGATAGCATTTTAGGATTTAATATATGTCGGTTGAGGGTTTGGGTAAATATCTAGGCTGAAATGTTGATTTTATGTACAGAGGAATTTGATGACTCTCTTCCCACTCAGCAGAAAACCTCACTATTTATGCTGCTCATGAAAGTTTGAGGTTGATGTGACCCCGAGTTTGCACAGAGGCTGGATTCAGAGTTTCATGTTAGGGATGCTTGTCCCGGTTGCCACGATCCGTTAATGTTTCCTTCCCCGGGTGATACGTGCTCGTCCACTTGCTTCGAATGGCGGTGCTCTCGACACAAGCTTCATATGCTGAGTTTGTAGAAGTGAGCATGAAAATGAGATCACGAACTTCACTGCTGAGGGCCAGGTTGCTATCTGTCGACGTCGCCTTCGTCGGGTGTTGTCTCCCCAAGGGGCTCGCAAATAACCACGCCGAAGTGGGATGCTCTTGCCAAAATTGGCGCAGACACACCGAGTAATGATCGACGACAAGTGCTCGGTTGCTTGCGTAATTGTGACGGCCAAAGAAAAAGACCGCTGCACCGGGAAGGAGATAAATTCAGATTGGCTTGACAATGATCACCATGTGTCCCTTCCATCTGTCTATATATTTCGTTACTCTCATGATGTCTCAGACTCAGTGAGGGCGCGGAGCCTTTCCAGTTCGTCGAGGGGGGGGGGATGCTTCTAGGTGGACCGGCACAGCCTCTACGAGGGTGCTAGCGCTTGTGATCTTGAGACTGCTTGCGCAAGTCCTTCCGGCCATAGCCTATAGGGGAGCTCGCCTAGGCTTTTGCGCGAGGTCAACGAAACGTCGAGCTGCACCGGTGGTCTACTAACCCGACAGTCTTGAGCTTTGAGCTCAACCAGCTATTCAAGTATGGGTGGTGTATGCCTTTGCAACACCTACCGGTGATTCAGACCCAAGGGAAGATCTAGCTTAACCTAATCCCCTGGATCGGAGGGCATGGTATAGCCAGGCGGGCGAAACTCCGAATCGCGAGGTGGCCCTCTGAACTCCTCTGAAACGAGGGGATTGTGGTAAGAGAGAAGATAACAGGTAGGACGTCCTAGCCTCTGAGGGGAAAAACAGTCCTGCCGTGAGGAGGTGGAAGCCGATGCGAGCCTCCTAGCCCAACTCACCAACTCTGGCACCACCATGATCGATGCTCAAAGTCCTGCTGTTTATCCACATCTCGTCTGCCAAGCATCTTATCACCTTATAACTGAATGGAAAAAGGTGTTTATTTCTTTGACTTCTTTTTCAGATATTCTGCTTATGAGCCTTAGATGTTTAAACTTTTTAATCGCCCTCTCTCTCTATCAACCAGGACATTTTTAAGTTCTTTCTTGATATTTGGGTGTATACAAATCACGTATTTTTATTGGAATGGACATATCATGTAATGTAATGTATTTATGTAGGCAAAAAAACAAATGCGAGAATGATTTTTACTTTTTAGTTTTTTTTGGTTAGGTTTTTGTAGGTTTGGCTTTTTTTCTTTTCTTTTCTTTTCTTTGGGGGCGGGGGATATGGGGTTTGTTTATGGTCAGGTTTGCACGGATTGTTCCAGAGGAGGCGAGAGCTTGAAGGCGATGATGGAAGGAGAGAGAGAGAGGAGCAGGACGAGTTATGTGGGGTACGGTTTATTTGAGCGAAGGCGGTACTTTCGAGGCCGGTGTCTGGCTCTCCTGCGCGACCGGAGGAGGTTCTATTCAACAAAAAAGGAGTGGATAAGATTACATTAATATGACAGAAACAAAAAAAAAATGGAGCGACGGGACGAGGAAGGGTGGACGGACCGGAGAAGATGCCAAAGGTGTCCACCAAGATGGCTCCGCTAAGAGCGAGTGCACGTTTACATACGATTGTCCACACAGTCGTCGACACGGCACCTTTCGGGGGAAAAAAAAAAAACGGATGTGAGCGAATGGATCAACGACTTTTGACACACAAAAGGTGGGAAAGACGAAGAGGAAGGAGAGGAGGGTACCATAAGGGGCCGAAGGGAAGCTGAGGATCCAGACGATGGGCGATGGGAACCAGTCTTGTGGGAGGAAGAAGACCGGCGAGCGACGGTACCATGAGATCAGCACGAACTGGAAGCCGCTCGTGAAGGTCCACAAGAGACTTGAGAACAGCGCGGCGAATTGGACCTTGGCTGACGAGATCTCTTTGTCTTATCATCATCATCCACATCCATCCATGTCCAACAACAACAACAGCAACCAAAAAAAAATCTAGTCAATAAAAGTTATGAGGATGTATAAGAGGGGTACTTTTTTTATTGTAAGGGAAATGGGAGGGGAAACCCAACTGAGCGCCTCAAGATCGACCAGATCCTTATCGATCTTCCGCCGAAGACGGGCCCATTTAGCGAACTGATCCTGGGACGAAGTAGCCTGAAATTCGACCTTGGTTTTGAGGATCTGGGTCTTGAGTATGGCTTGATCCTTGAGCAGAGACGAGCCGGAGATCCAGAGATACAAGTAATGTGTCTGCTCAAGTCCCCCCAAAAAAAACACTTCTCGTCAGTCCTCATTTTTTCTTCGAATTCGAATGGGTTCCTTACAAGGGAAAAGAGAGGAAATGAGAGCCATACCTACCCAATCGATCAGCTTCGTCTTCCCGATCCACTGGATAAATTGGGCCGAAGCGACCAAGAAAAAGATATAAAACCCGAGCATCTATCGATTCCGTTGTCTTTTTTCTCGGATGTGCGGATGTATGAGCGAATCTCTTCTTGCAAGTCGGGGTCAGACTGGAACTGATTCTTGTGAGTGTAGGACGAATTGTTGTTATAAATCGGGATGGATGGCACTGGGACAGCCTCTGGTACATAGTCAAGCGATCGGGTGGACGTGTCATCATCCAGCTGTCACAGCACTGCGAACTCCTATAACCCCCCGTGACATCCATCGCTTGGCTGCAGTCGGCCATGAAAGCAAGCACTGACATTTTTGCTTCCTTTTTGGCAGGCCAGATGTATTTTCTCATCTCTTTACTCTCTCTTTGCTTTTACATATTTACAACAAATGGGAACCAGAACCCATTTCCCTTCATGACTCACATCATGCCTACATTCTCCACTCACTTCTCTTACGATCTGTCAATCTAAATATCTAGTCACAGTTGATATTGGTTAGAAATTTTAGACTCCTCTTTCTCCCTATCTGGGTATCTCTCTTACATCCTCTCTCCCATTGAATTATATGTCTACTTGTTACAAACGCTTCAAGTATATAATCAAGTATTGTGTGTGCACATCTAAAGAGTAAACAGGAGAGACAGATGCCAGAAGAGAGTGAGTGACTCAATGACTAAATGAGCTCGATCAAGGAAGCAAAAGGTGAAAATCATCTTATCTTTCGTTCTTGCTCTCTCTCTCTCTCACTCATGATTCTATGTAGCACCACCATCTCACCAGCATAGAAGAAGGGAAACGTGATAAAAGATAGGCTGCGTTTCAGAAAAGAATAGTATATATATATATGACATGTCAAGTATAAATAAGGAAACAAGACCGGGGATAATAGAAGGAGTTATATATCTGTGTAAGAAAGAGCATTTTGGTTGTTTTTGGTCTTGAGGTGGTCGTTGATAGTGATAGAAGAAGAAGACTAGAGGAGAAGGAAGAGGATAAGCTACTCTATTTATATATCTGTAAGTCTTGAACTCTTCCTTTTTTTTTGGTTTGGGGAAGGGAAGGGATAAGTGCAATATTGTGATGAAGAAAAAAAAAAGTTGAGAGAGAGAGAGATGTATGGAAATGGAGGAAGGGGAAGATAGCAGAGCAGAAGATAGAGATAGACCAAAGTGGATTTGAAGAGCGTCAAATGGCCGGATCACTCAACCCCGTCCATCTCCCTTCCTAGTCCCGCACTCCCTCTCTCGATCTCTGTCTCTCTATCTCGCTACCTCCTCGACGTTGCTAAGCAAAGCATAAAAGGGCAGAGAAAGAAAGAAAGCAGTCGACAGAAAAGAGCGGGATACAAGTATATTGAGAAAAAAAAGTATCTAAGAGTCTAATGCATGATGTGTGTGTGTATTGTGTATGGCTTGTTCAGGAAGCCGAGACATCGTTAATTTCGACGCCCGAGTCGGACACCGAGCCCTTAGAGCCAGGACTACCTAAGCGACGATGCGCTTGGCCTTTGGCGTTCTTCCAAAACACAACGTCACCTTCATCCTCGACAAACTGAGAATGACCCCACCCACATCAGACAAATGTTTGCAAGACGGCTGACTGAGGATAGAAAAAAAAAACAGGGGTACGTACTCGACATTGGCTGTAAACCTTCCACAAGCTGATCCAAGCATCCTCGTCAGTCTGATGGTAATGAGGGCCGAGTTTAGCCTTAAGAGCGGCTGTAGCATCCCAAGCATGATAATGAGGAATTTTGGAGCAGAGATGGTGGGCCACATGGGTCTCGGCGATCCCATGGAAGAAGAAGCTGTGGATGTTTCGGTCGATGGTACAGAGAGCTCCTCGTTGGAAGTTAAACGCTCCGTCTCGGTAGTGTGGAAGCATTGGGTCGTTGTGTTGAAGGAAGGTGATCATCACGAGCCAATGCTAAACAGAAAAGAAACGGACCAAAACAGAGTCGGACTTGGAATTTCCACCTTCTTTGCACAAGCTAGAGGAAGTTCGAGTAGATAGGTGAGACTTACATTGACGTTGAAGTAGGGTACGATGTAGTACTTGAAAACGGTCATGAAGTCGGTCTTGTAGCCTAAGAAGGTGAGACCAGCGAGCATGATTCCGATACCAAGGTCAGACTTCAAGATTTGGGATCGATGTCTGGCATCATAGATGATTGAGTTTGGGTTGAAATCTGGACGAAAAAAAAAGGCAAGTGTGGATCAGAGAGACCCCCTTCGGCTCCGGCTAAGAGAGGTTTTTTAGAGTATGTGGAAATAAGGACTTACGATTGGTCCAAGATGGGTAGCGTTTTTGACCGGAAGCGTTGGTGAGGATGTACATGGGCCAACCGAGAAGTTGTTGAAGGAGCAAGTTGAGAAAGTTCCATAAGGGAGCATCTTCCAAGAGGTCGTCCATCTTTTCGTAGCTATATTTGGATATCAGATGATCGAGATTTGATGCAAGGAAGTGAGATAAGCTTGGCTGAGCTCCTAAGGATGTGTATGTGTGTGTGTGCTCATACAAAAGAAAAGCAGATGACTAAAAGAAAGAAGCCAAAATTGAGACTGACAGTGAGGGAGGTAGAGCACCATCTCGTTCACGTTTCGAAGCATTTTCAGGTAGGGGAGGTACGCCCCGTTCGGATCTAGTCTTTGGGACAAACACTTGGTCTCGTTTCATGTGACAGGTTGCAGCATGGTGTTGGGCATGACTGATCCTCCAGGAATGGTATGGGACTAGGAGGAAGGAGTGTAAGACGTAGCCGACGGTATTGTTGATCGATTTTGAGCTCGAGAATGCTTGGTGACCACATTCATGAGCGATCACCCAAATGCCTGTTGATATTTTTTTTTTTGGGGGGGGTTAGTGTCTGGATCATAGTTTACGTCATTATTTGAGAGAGAAAGACATACCGGTCCATACCAAGCCAGAAGCATAGCCGTAGAAGGCCCAAGCGGCGAAACGGGCGAGAGTGATTAGGGTAGGATTGGTTGTGTTGGAGAGAGAGTTGAAGTAAGGGTCGATGAAGCGAGCAAGATAGATGAAGGAGCTGGCCAGGAAGATGTCCCAGATGAGGTAAACGCTAGATCTGAGTGCTGAGCGTTGGAAGCAGTGGGCAGGGATGGCAGAGAGTAGCTCTTTGATGGTAAACTGAGGGAGTTCGAAGATCGGGATGGTCGATTGTTGATCCTCATCGTCTGAGGCAGAGGATGAGGATGAACCGGCCAGATGGATCACTGGGGTTGGTTTGATACGTTGATTGAGTTCTTGAGACATGATGATGGTGGTAGTCTATGTTTTGGATTGGGTTGTTTGAGGATGGTCCTCGGGCAGTGAAGTGTCCCAAGTTTAGAGTTATCGGGAGAAGATGAAGGAGCTGGAGAGAGCGAAGTCAGAGGAGTGGGAGAGTGCCTGATTAAATAGGGTTTCAGACTAAAAAGATGAACTCTAACTCACTCTTCAGTCTCGGCGAAAGGAAACCCAACAGCAGCAGAGCCACTCTGCTCAAATTAGTAGAACAAAACCAACAACAACAACAAAACAAAACAAAACAACACCAACACCAACACCAACCCAACAAACCCCTGATACCCCCAACAATGGAAACTCACGAGCAATTCACATGCAACAACACCTGCTAAAGAGAGATTAATTTACCATGTAGTCCCAGACAAGGAATCATCCGCAAGCTTATAATCGATGACGATCCGAAAATCACCTCACTCCTCCTCAAGAAGACCCAAAAAAATAGCAGAGGCAAGCCGAGCTGCACGGGACGATCCAACCATACCTTATCGCAACCGAGACCCATTCAAGCCTGATCGGAACCGAGCCAAAGAGCACTCCTACGTATTTCTCTCCCTTTCTTCATTCGTCAGTTTGCCAAGAAGTCCAGCAATTACAGACACCTACATACATACCCGGATCGATCAACTGCTTCCGAAACACAAAAAATTCACTTCTTTCTGTAGCTGCAGGATATATACTACTCGGAATAAGATCAGTGGAGGATGGTTTGGTTAAATTCAACGGCCAACAAGTTATCGACAGTCCATTGCAGGTTGGTTTCCTGGATCAGTTTGACTGCATGTTAAGGCACGCAATCTTCAAGGACCCCAGAACTGGACAGCTACTGCCAGCTATTATGGACGGTTTACTCAAGTTGGAACCCTGATCTTTTCTCAAAACTATGTAATCTGATCATTCCTTTAACAGCTACTTGCATGGGACTGTTGTTTGTTTTCCTTATCGTATCCATATTTGTATCCCACCAAAATGTAAGAAGAAAAAGGGTCGATTAAGGGATCAGTTAAACCTCGAAAAAGAAAAAAAAAAGAAGGACTAGTCTATCTGTAGTTACGTTGACAAGGTTCACATGGAAGGAATGCAAGAAAGATGCAAATAGAGCAAAACTCTGTTCATTCTTAAAATTTGTTCATAAGTTAAAGAAACAGTAAACTGCATGGTTTCTTGATGAGTCATTCGTATAAAAGGGGCTTGCTTGAGGGTCCAGACTTCCACAATCTGACGACCATTCAAGATCAAACTATTTCCAAAGATGTCACAGGATTGGGACCCCCAAAAAAACGGATTTGCAAAGCACTGGAGGACTTCCCGTCGGATCTGGGACCCTCGCAGAAGTCGATCTAGACCCGAAAACTCTTAATTCTCGCAGAGGAATTTGAATTTCGAGGCTCCAAACCAACTCTGGGAGACCCGCAGATGTTGACGGGAAGTCCTCCACTCTCACCTCAAGCAGATTCAATTAATCAGGTGGGTTATACACCCCGCCCAGCTCCTTCTTGGAGGATTTTGCAGCCAGAAACAACACGAGTCTTAGGTAAGCTCTTTTAAGGTTCAATTCAATGACCAAAAAAAATTAGAATAGTACAGCAGATTCATGCAATTTTTGCATCAAAAGATAAGAAGTTTGGCTAAGCAAAAAACAAACAAACTAATTTTGAGTTCAAATGTCGGGTTTCTTCCTGTAGGACTCTGTCCAAACTCTGACCTGTGCAATATCAGATAGCTGAGTTGTCCTGATTTTCCCACCCTCAATACTATTACTATCCCATAGACCAAAAAAAAAAGTTTTTTTTCTTTCAGGGAGTCAACTTTTTTTTTTTCTTTTGCTCAGTTTTTTGTTTTTTTTTTGTGAATAAATGCAAGCATACCTAGATCTGCTGTACTAGTGTGTGGAATACCAGGGTCCAGATTGGGAACCCTAATCCTAAGGATAAAAAAACAAAAACAAAAAATCTGAACAGCCTTCATTTATATAGCAGTTCCCAGTAAGCAAGCTTTCTGGGACCAGTCAAAATCACAAAAAGATAAATAACTTCTTTATGTCTCTTGGTCCTGTATTTGGCCCTGCATGTTCATGTGATATGGCCTAACTTGCTCATTCTTGACATGGTGCATTTGGCAGTAGGTCCATCAGATTTCTCTCAAATTTCTGAGTCGGAACAGCTTGTCACTTGAAGGTTCTGCCGGCCCCTGGCTGGTTGCCTGAGCCCCAAAAAGGTCTTGGAAGCATAATCGTAACCTGAACAGTGATGTGTACACGTTGCAAGGCACAAAAAAGTTCTTTACTTTCTTATATTTTATATTATTTTTTTTGCAAAGTTGACAGGTCTCACAAAGAAAGCTTTCTGGGAACTGCTGTATCTGCTCTAAAAACAAATGCTTGGTTATTATGATTGTTAATTTAGAAGGAATGGGGGGGGGTTGGCTGTTGAAACTTGAGTCCAAGATGGATCACCTAAACTGAGTCCAAGATGGATCACCTAAACTTGTGACACTCTTGTGAAACAAGAACTTTCTCATCAAACTAAAACTAATCTCAGACCATCACTCCCTCCTCATCTGTGTTCAACCGCTCCGGTCATGTCTCTTTGTGTTGGAATTTCATCTCTCTCTCTCCTCATCCCTAAAAATCCTGTTCTGTTTAGTCTTTTAATTAATAATGATTAAATAATAAAATTCAAATTATTATACAATTTTTGTTAGTTTCTGTGTGGTATCTTGTCCTGTTGTCTAGTGCTGCAATCCTTGTAGTCTTCGAACCCTGGTCTAGTCTTTATCAATAGTCATTTGCTCCAGTCATCTATTCAAGAATTTGTTTATTTTTTGTTATTCATTATGATATTCATTTTTCTCTCAACCACATGTTTGACCTCTTGTATGTGACTATTTAACGCGTAGTCTCCTCTAAGTAAAAAACTCATTGGCTCTCTCATTCTTTTCCCGACCCTTGAGTCAGTCCAACAAAATTCATTTTTGTTGCCCCCAAAAATTTTTCTCTCAAAAATTCTCCGCGTCTTTGGTCAAAATTTCTTCACTTTGTCATTGATCTCAACATCTTCATCAATCAACACTCCTCCGCTCCCTTATCAACATTGCTCAAACCGCTTCCCTGGATCAAGATCAACTCACCAAAATCTCAACTGCTCAAGAAATCGGCAAAGCCTTAACTTGGACTGTCGTGATAGCTTCCAACTTGGTGAGAAATGCCACTGAGCATTTCTAGGGTTAGGGTTCTGGGTCTTTTTTTATTGTGGTCACTAAACCTCTCTTTTTCCTATTAGTCTATTTTCTTATATCTTTGAGCTTCTTGTTCGATTTCTTGTGTTATCTCCTATTCACCTATCTCACTAGGGTTTGTTTCTCATTTCTGTTTTCTTAAGTCATAAGGTCTTCATCAGACTAATCTTTTCAACTCATCTATCAGCGTCACATTCAAGTCTCTTGTGTTCCAAAATCTCATTGTCTGTTATGGATATATTTATATCCACTATAGGGTTGGTGTCAAGTTCTCCTTCATCATCTTCTTTCTTTGTTTTATCTTGTCTATTTTTCTTCTGGTCCTGGTTTTTTTTGTCTGAAGCAAGAAACAGTCTCAGTTTTTACAGGGGCTAGATTTAGTTGAATTGGGCTGTGATTCTAGTTGTCATGGAAGGCCAGAAATACACTTCCACATATCATAAAAGGAGTGGGTGCACCTTACAACCAAGTATTTAGAACGTTTAGAACTATTTGATGTAGCACCGCAAGAAATAAATGTGCAATTGTAGCCGGTTGACATGAAGGTCTCCAAAGCTGTCCCAACCCCCCATTCATGAGGGGAGGTTTGGGGAGCCAAATCTCAATAAATTGAAGAAAAAGAATTGAAAGACAAAACAGCCCAACAACTCCCAAAACCGGCCTCCAAATCAGAAGACAGCATCCATCAATGTTTATTGGGAGTCATTATTCTAAACCCCCAGATTTTGACTAGCTCAAAAGTTAACTATTGATGCATGTAGCAAGGGTTAGCTGAAAATTTGGCTGATAGCCAGCAAGCTTGTATGTAAAATTAACAATAAAAACATTGGTGGACTTCCTGTTGCCACTTAGAGTGATTTTTGAGCCCTCCCCAGTCCTAAATTAACACCCCAAGCATTATTTCAACCAGCTCACATGAGAGCTATCTTCACAAGGCTTGTGAAAAAAAATCCAAAAATTAAGATCTAGGGGGTGTAAATTAAATTCTGGGTGGGTTGCAAACCGCAATCGGAAGTCATCCATTGAAAATAGCTCAGAATGACATGCAAAAATGCCAAGGTGTCCCAAGGTTGTGTCTGTTTCCAGCAGCCTTGTTTCAAGATATTTCTTGCTGTTATTTGATTATTTGATGATATAGAAGTTTCTGATGGTTTAGGATACTTTCCTGCTGGGTTGGGAACTTGTGATACAGGCAATATACTTCAACTACTTACAAATCCAGAGTTCAAACATTTAGGAGATCAAATTTTTAATCCAACCTGTAATGGAGCTGGTTGGGCAACCATGTTAAGTAGTTTCTAGGACATGCAAGGTACCAGATGTAGGCCATTCCAATGGTGCAAATTGGTGGTGGGAACTTCCCACTATAAGATTGGGAACCAACAGAGACAAAAAAGGTTGAAACCCCATGTGATCCTTGTGTGAAACCAGGAAATCTAGGCACTGCACAACTTAACTCTCATCATTAATCTTGACCTAATCTTGTGTCCTAAAATTGAATCTTGTTCCTCTGTTCTCTGTCTCTCTTTATTCATACCATCAATCAAATCTCATTGCAACTTGTTGCTCCTCAATACTCACTCCTCATCAAATCAATTCCTCAATTTCCCAATTGCTCCTCACTCCCCCTTCCCTCAAACACTAAAACTCTGTCAAATTTCATCTTGCCTATCCTACTTCTTTCAAGCTAAATAAACTTTTCAACTCCAATTGGATCACACTCTGATTCCAATTTGGTGAGAATAAAAACCAAACATCTCTCTCTCTTCATTGTTATCTCCCTTCATTTGACTGATCAATGTACCTTTACTAGTCATGTGTCCTTCTTTCTTTTCTCATTTCATTTCATTTCAGTTTTCTTCTTAAGATCCATTTATTCTGTTGGGGTAAATATTCTCTCATTATTCCTTCAATCTTTCCTTTCTATCACTACAAGTAATACCCATTTTGCCCCAAAAATAAATGGCAATTTGGGTGGGGGAAAATGGATCAATTTTCTGGAAGTTTTTTCCAAAATGCCTCAGGAGTAGAAATTAGGCTAAACTGAGCTATTTTAGCCCAGAGATAGAAATTCATCAAACATTCCAAAATGAATTTTTAGCTCATTTGAGACATTTTTATTTTTTTGGCTAAAATAGCTCATTTTAGCCTAACTTTTTACTCCTGAGGCATCTTGTAAAAAAGTGCCAGAAAATTGATCTATTTTCCACCATCCAAATTGCCATTTTTCCTTGGGGCAAAATCAGTATTGTTTGTAGTGTATGATTGCTGAATCACCTTAATGTGCTCTCTTTGTTTCATTTCTTCAAGTTTGGTGGTGGTGTTTCACTTGCATCACTCTGAAAAAAGGGGCTGGTGTTAAGCTAGCACACAGCTGGGGGCTCATAACTAGTACAGCCACACTCAAAGTGTGTGGATCAGTTTTTACAGTGCATACAGCAACAATAACTCGATGTGTTTCAATTCATCAACTAATATTACAACAATCCCGGACTCAAAATGCCAATCACATTGAACTGCTAATTTTAAAAAACCCAAGTCCAATTTTTGTTTCTTAAAATCACCATGGGTTTTATACAAAAAAGTGAAATCTGCTTTTCAGTTGTTATGAGTACTCAATTGTCATCACACAATCTGATTGCTGATGGACTGATACTTCATGAATAGTAAGCTACGGGGGAAAATACTTTGTCCTAATTTTTTACTGTATCTAATTGGATATCTAGCTAAACAGTTGTAAAAAATACAGTTTGAAAACGAAAAAAGAGGCTACAAGTTTGAAAAAACAAAAAAATGTCTACAATATTAACATCATTTACACCTATACAATTTTGTAACAAAAGGGGAAGCAAGGGGGGGGGGGGGGGGTTATGTGCATGCGGGACTACTCCTGACTGATCTTGATTCATGCGAGGTCTTTGAGTTTGGTGGAGCGAAATTGTTCGATACTGGTGGATTCATCAAGATTAACTTGATGATTGGCTTCATGAGGATCATATCGCTTCATTTTTTGTGCGATTCCAAAAACAACCTAGCGGTTGTGATGTTTCCCTTCTTGGTTATATCGGATGAACTTCCGCAAGAATAAAGCTGGTGGATCGGCTGCCCTGCTAGTAGGGCATCTTCCATGGCACCATCTAGAAGGGGGTCTTCAGGAAGTTGCAACGGAGGCTCTTGAGAGACTCTTCTGGTTCGGGCACCGGTCATAGACAACTGAGAATGATCCGATTCCCATCTTCGGTCTATCGTTGTGGGATTGTTGACGAGACCAGACCGATACTTTCCCGGATTTAAAACTTGCGAAGCGTTAGGCAACGCCTCCCCTAAGAGGTTCTCGAGCCTTGAAAGTCGCGCATCTAGTGTTGGAATACATCCCCTCGCTGGAACGCGTTTTCCGCTGGGCTGCGAAGTTCCTTGGCGTTTCGAACTGCCGGGAAGAGACGGAGTTGCAAAAGTCGTCTTCACAGTTTGCGGGCTCCCGAATCGATCTTCGGATACGGGAGAGGCACTAGATGTACCATATTCGGGTGTGGATCTTTGCATCGGAGCTCTGGGCCAGTCCCGGGAATTCAACTGTTGCGAGTTTAATTGCCTTTCGGGTGTTATTCTGCAGGCTAAATTGAGAGTAGCGCATCGATGACAACTCAGCGAGCCTGTTGGCCAAACGCAGCGGTGTTGGTAATTGCAGTTTTCGCCTGGAAGGTGGAATCAGACGTCAGGTTCAGAAATATCAATAAATCATGACTTGAGCCACATACAAGGCGTATCATTAATAGAGCCTATAGAGGAATCAATCCTCATAGGGTCAGAAGTGGCCCATGAATGATGCGAAATTGGGGCTCCCAAATCCATGTTCGATGTGAAGCTTGATCTAAGAGAATGACCTCCGGGGTGATGCCCAATGTCAGGAGTTGAATAATGATATGTCCCAGAAGCCCTACCGTAAGCAAAATTCGCGTTAGGCGCTGGTACTCTGTGATTAGACATTTGAAAAGGTGAGTTGCGGTAAAATCATAATCCTCCAGGGATTATAAGAACATGCTGGTCGGTGGGTCCAGCTGGCCACGGCGAGCCGGACGGAACGATAAAAGCAAAGAAGCTCGCACACCCAAGAGGCGCACCAGCCGTTATGGCGCCAGTATGACGGTACAGGGCACTACCGTGAACAAGAACCACTGAGGCGCCACAGTATCTGATGTACGCGATGGACCCCGCGGGTCTGCCACAGGGGCGATGTGATCAATACCGCTTGTATGACGCACCGAACACCGGGGCGCCGTAGAACGAGAGGCGGAGCAAGAAAAGAAAAAGAGAAAATATGCAAAAGAAGCGGGAAGAAGACAAAAAAAAGAAGACGGAGGAGGAAAAAAAGAGAAGGAAAAGGGAGAAAAAAGGAGGAAGAGGAAGAAAAGAAGAAGAAGAAGAAGAAAGAAGAAGAAGAAAAAGAAAAAGAAGAGGCCAAGAAAAAAAGAAAAGCCCAAGAAAAAAGAAGAGGCCAAGAAAAAATAAGAGGCCAAGAAAAAAGAAGAGGCCAAGAAAAAAAAAGGCGGCGAAAAAAACGGCAGCAACAACAAGCAAGGCGGAATCGGCGAGAAAAATAGTAACGGTAGCCGCTAAGCGAACAAGTTAGAAGCGGCGAAAACATAGCCGAACAGCAAACGGCGACGAAAAAGAATCACAGTGAAGAAAACATGTACACACAAACCGACGATGGCGGATGTGATGAAAATGGAGAGAGTGAAGAAGATGTGGGAGGTGATGTTGAATAAGGGGTAAGGATGGGTCGCGGGGTCGACCGGTCCTGACGAGGAGGATTCCCCTTAGCTGGCACATACAGCTTGTGCCCACTTGCCAAGGAGGGTTTCCCCATGGCCAATAGATACCCTCAGTATCTCCTAGTACTTTCCAAGAAGGATTTGTCTTTGAGCGGTAGTTATGGTCTGCCAGCCTGTCTGCTTGCCAAGGAGGATTCGGTAGCTACAGGTGCTATCCACGGTTCGCTTCTGCAGGATCCATCAGGACCATTACAACCTGTAGACAGCTCTCTCAAAATCTGAGTTCACTTCAATGCATGGGCCTAACGGGCCGGGATGAGCTTCATTTGTGCCCCAAGTGCCAACACCAAGTAATGGGTGGACAGACTTGATTCTCAAAGATCCAGTGACATCTGGGGGGTGAAAGTTAAACTGATTGAAGATGATGAGCAAACAAAAAGCAACATTTTCACACCCTCCAGCAGGTGATTTTGATGCTTCTCTATTCACATTTGTGGAAAGCCAATCAAGAAATAAAGCTCAGCGCTCTTCACAGACTTGGGTCCTGCTGTCTTCCTTGTCCCCTCATCATGAACATTCCAGCTCTTCACCCCTTATCTCTCAACAACTCATGTCATTTCTTCCTTGGTGGACTGCCAGATCCTGTGCACTCATGTCATTTCTTCCCTGGTGGACTGCCAGATCCTGTGCGGCTTTGTCTCATGCTACCCTACTATCCTTTATCTCTGGCTGCCACTTCCTCTCTCCTTGGCTCATCCTTGTCTGTTTTTTTGCACAACATTGCCACACCACCCACCATTTTCTCTTTTTCCTTGAAAACCAAGCCATACATCATTTTGTGATTGCCTTTCTTGTTAGTTAGAGATTCTCAATAGATTATCTGATTAATCATGGCAGTAACTCATCTCATCTGGCTTACTCAAAATTTGCATCTTATGTGAGAAAGCAATCCTTTATGCTGTTCAAAACTTAATATTGAGCTGCTAGTATATAAATATAGGGTCTTAGTTAAACGACTCCCAAATATTGGAGTTCCGACTCCCAAATATTTGGGACGTCGAGAGGACTGGCTGCGGACGGTCCTCTCGACGTCGATCCCCCTATATTTTTTTTCCCCCGAAAATTTGGGAGTCGGACCTCCAAAGGGTCCGACTATTTTGGGAGTCGGAACTCCAAAAAAAATAATAAAAAAATTAAAAAAAAAAGAAATCCCCCGGGGGGATTTGGGAGTCGTTCCTCCAATAAATGGGAGTCGGAACGACAAAAAACATAATAAATAGAAAACCATCAAAAATAGTAAAAAAACTATAAAATAAAATAAAATAAAAATAAATCCATCAAGACATTTAAAAATCCAACCCCATTGAATGAGGGGCCCCTTGAATAAAAGTAAAAATAAAACAGCAAAATGTAGTAAAACAGAACAAAATAAAATAAAACAAAACAATAAAATAAAATAAAACAAAACAATAAACTAAATAAAATATGGAACACAAGAAAATAAAATACAATAGTATTGTAGTTTAAATGATAAAAACTAACAACATAAATTAGAAAATCAAATGTAATTATGAGATACAAGAATTCAGGGAATCATCCTCCAATGAGAGGAGGAAAAATTGGCAAAAAGGAAATATCAGTAAAAACAGAGAGAAATGTATGCCCTCTTGAGCATATGGGAGGCAAAAGCTTCCTTCTTATTGGTTGGTTAAATGACCAAATATCATCAAAAGTAGAAATCACTGCTAATAATATTCAATTGATTGAAGAATCAAGCAAAACATGAATTTCACTTGCACTACTTAGGAGTTAAAACCCACATCAATGAAACAGAAGCAATAAATTGAAAGAAACAGAAGAAGAGTTAAAGGAGAGGACACAAGTAAAAGGAGGGGAACATAAGCAAGAAATTTAATCTGAGACAAAATATGGAGAAGGAGAGGGAGACATGAAGATTAAAATTAGTAATGAGTAGTCCCTGGGAATAAAATTTTGCGTCCAACAGTCAGAACATGACAAGCGGAATACTTCTCCTCCCACGGTAAAGCCTCTGGTACGGCGTCTTCCTTCCAATCTTTCATAAGTTGTGGTGCAGGAAAGTATACAGGGTCAAACATTTCCAAGGCGACAAAGTGATTGGGGACATGAGCAATGCAGATGGGGGGATTGTTGTTGGGGGGACAGAAATAAGGGAGAAAACTTAGAGAACCATGTAGAGAAAAGAAGAAAACGGCGGTCTCGAAGGCATTGGCCATAGCTTCACCAAAGGAAGGCATTGACATCCATTTGTCAACAGAACAGGGTTCAGGCGTGTCGACCTTGAGGCTGTCCAACATCTTGTCGATTCGATGGAAGATTTGCTTCTTGACATACCATTCCCTCCGGCTGGTGATTTCGGTGATGAGTCCCTCGCGGATCCGCATGTAATCACCCTGGTCTCGTCCCAAACACCACGCAACCGCTCGGTAGCCACAGTGACCATCGGATCTTGGGTTGAGGATGCTTTTCACTGAGTCCTTCATTATAGGTGGGAGATATTGGCGATAGCTGGATTTGTCCGCGTCATCTGGCTCATTTTCGTCACATGGTTCGGGAGGAGCTATGGCGGGTTGGTCTTTGGGGGGGGTTTGGACTTTGGCAGGGAGGCTTGCGGTTTTGATGGGTCGAATCTTCTTCTTTTGGGCTGTTCCTGTTTTGGTGGGCAGTGTTTCGGATTTGTCGGTCGTGGGGGTTAACACTTCATCCAAGTTGGCTGGCGGGGGAGCTTTGACCCGTGCATTCCGAGGAGGGAGGATCCTTTTCCTAGGTTCCGGACTGTTTTTCCTGGCCTCAGATGCCTCAAGCTCCTCCTCTTCTTCCAACGCCTTGTCTTCTTCCTTCTGTAATGCCTTCTGGTCAGCTTTTCGGAAGGCCTTCATCTCCGCTTTGATATTGTTCAGCTTCTGTTTCTTGGCTTTGACAGCTTCGCTCTCTTCTTTCTTCCTCTTCTTCTCGACATGTTCAAACTCCGACAGTTCCCGTTTGGTGGTCCTTGGTTTGTTTGTTGCGCCTTTCGGTCGTCCTCGAGTCTTCTGAGCTTCGGTCGGCAGCTGGACATCTACTACCGCCCCGGATCCTTCAAGCAGCTGGTTGATGGCGGCGATTTGGATTGCCTGCTGGGCTGGATTCATCGACCGTAGCCGATCCGTTATCTGCTCAATCATCGGGTTATCATTCTGGGTTGCCCTGGCGCTTGGGGATGGATCACGTTTGAGGACCTGAGGAGGGATTCATGTCAGAACCAAATGGAAACAGATGGGAAGAAGAACAAAATGGAAACACATGGGAAGAGATATGAAAACATACATTCATGTGCCATTGGAGATGGAAATCTTCCGGTGATACCATTCCTCCCGATCTTGAGATTTCCAAGAGTTGATGTTTGCAAGGTATGCCCATTCGAAGGACATATCGTTGATTGCAATGCGCATTTTCACCGAGTTTCTTCCCGGCCGTCAGATTATTGAAAGCCTGACTGAGTGCATAATTTGTGATCTTCCCAAGGCAGGGTCGGAAGATGCTGCCAAGGTATCGAAGTGTCGTGATCTTTTGCTGAAAATGGATGCTGGTGATCTGGTGATATTGCTCTTCAATGGCATTGCTGATGAGCTGGACCGCTGAGGCAAAAGTTTGTTGTGGCCCAAGGAGGTGAGACTTGATGAATGCATGGGCGGATTCCATTCGCGAGGTTGTCCGGTTGTTGAAATGAGTCACGGTGCATGTCCACGCATTGGAGTAGTGTTCGGCAACAGGTAACCAGGTCGAGGAGGCATATTTTTCAAAGTCTGGCCCATATTTGTGGGCCCAGCGGGAGAAACTAGCTTGAAAATCGGACCGGGTCGAAATCTTTACTATGTTCATCCAGTATTGAAGCATATCCTTTCGTTGTTCGTCTGTGGCAATGAGTTTTGCACCTTTGGCCAAGAGATTCTTCTGAATATGCCAAACACAAAGCATGCGGTGGGCGTTGGGGAACGAGGTTGCAAGGGAATTCATTAGAGCCTGCTCGCGATCCGTGATGACGACTGGAGGGAGGGGGATCTCGTTGCTTTGGAAAATGGTCAGAAGTGATTGCAGGGCCCAATCGTAGAACGGCTCGGTTTCCTCTGCCATGAAACAGAATGCGACACTGAACGTCTTGTTTGAACCGGTGATTCCAGACACGTGGAGCAGAGGCATGCGGTACTTATTCGTCTTATATGTGCAGTCGAGTAGGATGATGTGGTGGTATGCCTTGAGGAGCTTCAGGGAATCAGAGTGACAGAAAAAAAGCGCTTTGAGGTTACCTTCTTGATCTACTTTGGTGGCGGTGGTGAAGTTGGTGTTGGCCAGAGTTTTGTTCAAGTGAACAATCGGACTTATCCCTTGAAGCGTTTCCTGGCGAGCCTTTTTCCGGGCCGTGTAAATTGTGCTGACGGTCGCTAGTATGATCTCATTCGGGTGAGTCTTCTTCAGGGACCGGAGTATCTCGCTAGGCCTCAATCCTGCCTCGCCAAGAGCCTTCATTTCTTCATAAAGACGTGGTGTGAGCCTTCTGTTGGTGGTGTGCGCAGACATGCTTTCCGACGGCTCGTGATTATGAGCGCCCGTCCTCACTCGGAAGTCCCACTGATTGACACCCTTTTTGTGAAAGTAAGCTGTGGCCTCCCATGGGCACCGTATCAACCGAGTCGAACGAGCCTTCCCATGAGTTTCACCGGGGCGCTTATTTTGGTCTGGATGGCCACCTCTATATTCCTCAAATGAACAGTAGCAGTCAATAACCCAAACGCAAGGTACAAGACATGGTGAGAGACGGAAAAGACCAAATTCGGGCGGCTTACCTGTCACATTTGAAGAGCTTGCTCTTTCCTTCGACTGTTCGCCTGAGCACAATTGCATAGCCATTATGCAATGCAAAGCGCTTAACATCCTCAATCATGAACTCGGGATCGGCGTAAAGTGCTGCGGGGGGGTTCGGGAAATCATATAGCCGGCAGTTTGTCTTAGGACAGATCCGGTAGTTGTCCGGGTTGAAGTTTGTCACGAAATCGGTTCGGTCATTGACCGGGTCCTCGCCTTCGCCTTCCTGATTAGCGTTACCCGTGCTGGGGTCTGGGGCCACCTCACCGGTGGCAGTGCGTAAATCCTGAGTTTCCTGAACCGGGTTGAGACTCTTCAGTTGCTCATCCAATATCTCAGCAATTGCGGCCTCGTCTTCGTCTGAATCTTCCTCGAGGATTTCGTCCAGAACATCCTTGGTGAGCTCTTCATATATTTCATTGGCAGTCTTCTCCACCTTCTCTTCCTCTTCGATGTCTTCATGTGGAGGTCCTTGGGAGTTCTGGGATGCACAGAAGTCCTGTGTGAGTTGTAAGAGGGCGGGGTCGATACCGTCTAGAGGGTTTCCCGAGGATTGGATAACCTCATCTGGTGGGGCTTGACCAGATGGGACGGCCGGAGAAGCTGGGATCTGACCATGAGCCTGAGTGAAGACAGTCGGGGAGGCAGCGGCTGGAGTGGCTTGAGGGGAAACAACCGCGGGTCTGTTGCTGTGGGTCAACATGGGGGCAGGATCATCTTCACCGGGGGAACAACCGGGTACGGAGAGGCCGGCGTCGATACCTTCAGAGAGTGGGCCTCCAGATAACAGGATAACCTCATCTTCAGCAACGGGGAGGTTTGCATCTGGACGTTGGGACATCATGGCAGGTCTGTCAGCAAGAGCATGAGGGGTGGAGACAGAGGGTGGAGACAGAGGGTGAGGAATGAAATGAATCTTACCTTGAGGCTGATTTAAACCATCAGTAGGTACGCCAAGCTTGTCGTCCAGAGGTCCATCCGACGGATTTGCTCCATGCAACGGTGAGCCTACGTTAACGTCTACCACGGCGTCTCCTTTGGGGGCTTGAGGGGCATCATGAGGTCCTGAGACCGCAGGTCTGTCAGCAAGAGCTTCACGGGTGGAGAAAGAAGGTGGAGACAGAGGGTGAGGAATGAAATGAATCTTACCTTGAGGCTGATTTAAACCATCAGTAGGTACGCCAAGCTTGTCATCCAGAGGTCCATCCGACGGATTCGCTCCATGCAACGGTGAGCCTACGTTAACGTCTACCACGGCGTCTCCTTTGGGGGCTTGAGGGGCATCTTGAGGTCCTGAGACCGCAGGTCTGTCAGCAAGAGCTTCACGGGTGGAGAAAGACAGAGGGTGGAGACAGAAGGTGGAGACAGAGGGTGAGGAATGAAATGAAACTCACCTTGAGGCTGATTTAAACCATCAGTAGGTACGCCAAGCTTGTCGTCCAGAGGTCCACCGACCGGATTTCCTCCATGCAACGGTGAGCCTACGACCACGTCTACCACGGCGTCTCCTTTGGGGGGTTGAGGGGCTTGAGGGGCATCTTGGGGTAGTGAGTGGTCTGGGTGGGGGTCTTGAGGCTCTTCATGAGGTCCTGAGGGGTCTTTGTGGGGGGCTTCAGGCTCTTGAGGGTCTTCATGGGGGTCTGTTGGGTCTTCTTGGGGGCCTGGGGTGTTTTGAGGTCCTTCATGGGGGTCTGTGGGGTCTTCTTGGGGGCCTGGGGTGTTTTGAGGTCCTTCATGGGGGTCTGTGGGGTCTTCTTGGGGGCCTGAGGGGTCTTGAGGGTCTCCTACAGGGGCTGGGTTGCTGATTGGGTGGGCTGGAAGGCCTTCTTGAGGGGCTGAGTTGGGGGTTGTGTGGGTAGGGGGGCTGTTAGGCATGGTGGGGGTTGTTTGGGGGGGGTGGGTGGGTGGTTTTTGGGGTTCTGGGAGGGCTATTGGGGGTTTTGGGAGGTGTGGGGGTGTTCCTGATGGTCCCGGTAGGTCCCTGGTTGGCTTCCTTAACGTTCGCTAACGGTCCAATCGATCGTATGGTTCGTTTTTGCTAGGGAGGGGAGGGAGGGAGTCTGGGAGTCGCGGGCGCGGGTGGGAGGCAGTCGGATATCGACTGCTGTGGGGCCTAGGTGTAAATACATATAAGGTTTTTTTTTATATACATATATTTTTATTTGGTGTCGTTCCGACTCCCATTTATTGGAGGAACGACTCCCAAATCCCCCCGGGGGATTTCTTTTTTTTTTAATTTTTTTATTATTTTTTTTGGAGTTCCGACTCCCAAAATAGTCGGACCCTTTGGAGGTCCGACTCCCAAATTTTCGGGGGAAAAAAAATATAGGGGGATCGACGTCGAGAGGACCGTCCGCAGCCAGTCCTCTCGACGTCCCAAATATTTGGGAGTCGGAACTCCAATATTTGGGAGTCGTTTAACTAAGACCCTAAATATAAAAGGATAAAAATTGAAATTTGGCAGGGAGCTTCCAGCATACTTAAAACTCAAATTGCCAGCTGCCAGCTAAAATCACAGACTATGTTGTTAAGAACTTTTAAGTGAAAATTTAGATTTTAAATTTTGAATACCATACTTGAATTGATGTTGTGCAATCTCTGGAAAGAATGAATGGACTTGGTTATTTTTTGGTTATTCACAGTTAGCAATACATGATGTATTTTTCTTGTTTAGTCACATTAATCTCCTGCTTGGATTTTTCTTATGCTACAGTTTTTCTATTGTGAAGCACTGACTTATCTTTTGATTCATGTTTGCAAACATTTGAAGCTCAGGTACATCACATTTTTGTTTCTTGCAGGTTTTGCATGTGTAAAGCAAATTATATCTTCAGGCTGTGAACTTGATGTCATCCCAATCTACATGTGAAACCCATGATAGAGATCAAAGTTTGAGGAGAAAGGCAAGAAAGCATGAACATACATAGGCTATTGTACAAGGGATATTTTGCAGTCCAAAACCACCTGGAAAGCCAATGTAAGGACTTCTTTTTTTAGCCGTCCAGTGCTGGCTAACATTTGAACAATGGCAGGGTGGAATCCACTGATCCAAACCAGGACTGTCTATGGGGATCAAACAATTTGAAAGGGGGTGAACTTGTTATTTCCTTGCATCACAAAAGGTAGGTCCTACTTGCACCTTGGGATTCACAATGCCCAGTATGCACATCATGTAACAACTGGCCAAGGATGACAGCTCTTGCTGATCCAACTCCCAAACCTATTTGCAGGCTTGATACTAGAACGGCCCCTAAAAATATTTTTATTCCATCTTCTCAATTGGCCCAATCATCCCTCCCCAGCATTGATTTTGAGAAAAACACTCCCAAAAACTCCTGCACCATCATTGGTCAGGAAAATGGAATCACAAGGAGAGGAAGGAATTGCGAGTGAGGTTATAGTTTGATCAGCAGCCTCCAAAATTAACCATCATGAATTATAATTGATGATCATCAAACCCAAAAATGCAATTAGGGTGGGTCCGCAAATGTTCTTACATGTATATATACTCTCATCTGAAAATCAGTTCCATCTTCAGGCTGAGTCGCTGACACAGACAGACACCCTACAATGGTCTCGCGACACCCTGCCTTGGCTCGAAGAAGACACTGCTTCTGTGGCACAGTTGTTCTGTCTTTCTTGCCATCTGGGAATTACCCAATTTCTATATTCACTAATTTTCTCAGGGATTTTGGCTGTGTAGGTTGCGAGATGGTGCGGAGGGACTTGGTTCTCAGGAAAGGGCACGAGATGAAGGTTACGTGTGCATTGCTGATGGCAGGTCTTGGCCAACAATCAACGGGTGTTGAGGAGGTAACATGCAACTCGAAGCTTGATATTTAGGCAGCGATGGTAACTTCAACCTCAACTCCGGGCTCAATCGACATGGAGGTCTGTCGGGTAGACATAACGGAAGGAATTAGCAATAGTATTGTCACTTGAGAGAAAATGGGAGCACTAACGATTTGTTTGACGGTCTCTGCTGGACTTTGAAGATCAATCAATCGCTTGTGGATCTTCATTTCAAATCGATCCCAGGTCTTGGAACCTTCACCACAAGGCTATGAAGAAGAACGAGAGAGTCAGTCTAATATCCAATGCAGCCGACCCATGTTGGGACAAAGTAACAAACTAACAGTTTTTCGGGTGGTAATGCTAAGTCGTTTGGTAGGAAGACGGACGGGACCCTTGACACGTAGATCCTTGTCTTTCGCTCGGCTAACCAAGTCGAAGCAAACTGAGCAAGACGTGCGCGGGGGCAATTAGTAATGTGATAGATTAGATGCATTTCCTAGAACAATCAAGTACCTTTCTCGAGAGCCTTGACGTTCTTGCTGGTTAAAGTGATACGGATTCGGTGTGACTTGGGTGGGGGTAAACCGCCCGCCTCGTAATCCTTTTCACCACCTTTAGCGACGTAACTCATTTTGTATGCGAGTGGACGGGATGAGCCAGCGGTGACTGTGAGAGGTGATTTCGGGTTGTTGATGGGCCGTGAGGGGTGACTTGGAACCGATACATACAAGCCGAGGAGGGAAACCTAACTGCGGAGCGAAGGTGATGAAGGTGCGGACTGCGGGCATAACCGCTGGGGCGCGCCCTGATGCAAAACCGTAAAAATCCCACGAGTATTTTTGCGAATCCGTAGAAATACTACAAACCCTCTCCGTTTTTCTAGTATCCATAACCCTCCGCATGATGATCCATTGTATTAAAATGTCAAGAAGCTGTGTGCATAAATCAAATTTGGTTAGCCAGTTGGGGGCAGCAAAACCCGACCCTGGATCTTTCCTGTGTCCAAATTTCTGAGAAAGTTCTTTTTTTGGCTTTTTCAGACTTTTGATCAATATGTTTGGGCCTTCAAAACAACTTGTAGAGCATCAATGAATGCACAAGGTAGATGCTGCAGGTGAGGTATCAAAGCTGGAGAAGCATAAACACATCAATATGCATCATTTAAAACCATACTTATGGGTTTAAGTCTGCATTTTTGAGGGCTTGTTCTTGAAAAAAACACATGCCAAACTAAAAAAAAGAACCACCAAGCCAAATGCTTAGAGCAACTCCACCGCGGGCGGTAAATCGGGTCCGTATTTGGAATTTACCGACTCAACATGAGCCACTGCGGCCACTATTTGTGTCTCAAATCTACGGCCGTCCCTAAGTTTTGTGCCCAAGTCCCTACATGTAGGGACTGCTAGTGACTCCTTTATTAACCTCCCAATCCCCTTTCACATAACAACTAGCTTGTGAAACTCTACTACCTCAATACAAATCGGTTCCTACTTCACACACCACTCATCCTTTCACAAATTCTTAAAGACTCTTGCGGTGTATGCCACAGCACTTTAAGGCTGTAAAGTTGGCTTTGCAGTCCCAACAGTCAAAATTTAGTGGCCCAAAAATGGGGGCTGCAGTGGAGTTGCTCTTAGTGCTTAGAGTGCCTCCAATGCCTCCAATGCAGTAGGTAAATATGAGTTGCTAAATGTTTGATTGTAGTGACTTGGATTCATTATTACAACCCAACATGAAGACTGCTCACTGCGGCTGTCAGCCTCTATGCTGCTAACCTGAGTGGGTTGTGCTATGAGTGTTAACAAGTAGTGTAAATGGAAGGTGTATTTGTGGTAAAAAATCCCTCAACCTGTAAAAGAAACAGGGAGGAGTCAGTGAGGAATGTTACTTCTACTGCTGACTCATCCAATTGTTCAATTGGGCATCCAGATCAATCCTTTTACGCGGATTAATAGGCTTCCAATGTGAGGAATTTTTCTACTCACTTGGGGTCAAGTCTTTTAACAACAATCCAGATGAATAAGTGTGTGTACACTTAAGGACCAGAATTGTTTAACCAGGGGGATAATTCTTTATGCAGTAGAGATAAGTATAAATGCCTTGAATCTGAGCAAAGTAAATCTATTTAGGTCTAAGGTAGCTGGGTTGTAAGGTTATTGGTGGTTTGAATCACTAATAATCACGGTACAAGTGTTGGTTTGATGCTACTAGAACTTCCTGGGGGGAAAAGGTAGGAATCAGGGCTCCTTAAATATTCTACAGAGGGCTCAGGGGAAGAGGAGAGGCCCTCAGGGCACTAGGGAGCTTCTTAGCAGCTCTATAATTTCATGTAAGGATGGGAGCTGTAGCTGTGCAGTGCTATGCATGGGTGGAAGGTCCTAGGACATGAGATCATACATGCATAATTGAGTTTTGTGGCCTATTTCTCACCTAATTGAAAGGGCTGCAGTTACTGTGCAAGGGCTGTGCAATTTTAGAGTTAGTTGCATATGTGTAAATCTGCTTATGCAAGTTTGTGATCATGAGAAATGCATGTGCTTCATGCATAATTCAGTCTTGCATGTAGAATTTGGGCTTTTTTCCCATGTAGGCTACTCTGAATTATGCAAGCTTTGAATTAGAGCACAAAAGGGTCCTGATGACGCCATCCAAGAGGGTTATGATGCAATCTGATGCCCTGATGATGTGATCAAGGATGGGTAAGCTTCAGATAAATTTATATAGCTTAGCCTTATTCCTCATCCATTTCATGCTTCTACTAGCTTATTCTTATACTTATGTTATTAATTTATGTATTATAAAATATGTACATAATGTATAAGAATAAATATTATTCTAAAACCTTGTTCTAATGCTATTTCTGTGAAATCCTAGTGATATTATATGTACAATTCTCAAGGGGATTTCACAGTTAATTATAGAATTATTAAATATAAATTATGAATTAAGATTAAATGTAAATACATATTTATTTATTTATTTATTTATTTATTATTTTAACAACAATGTATAATATTTTCCTATATTCAATTAGTTATTATTATTTGCAGTTACTAGCTGGTACATTTCACGTACTGTGAAAGGTACTCTGTGGCTGACAGTGGCAAAGTGGTGAATCTGTGCTAAATCCTCATGACAGGCCTCCCCCGGTGATATACCCTGAACCCAAGCCTCCATATTGAAATGAAATGTTTTGTAGCACCACAGATTGGGGAGAGGTTTGACACCTCCTGATTGCTAGTTTGAGCTGTAGGGAGTTGGTAGTTGTGAATCACTCTCTCACTCTCAAATCAACCTTTGAGACCCTTATAAAACTGGGTTAAACCCTTTGTCCACCTGTTAAGCCACAGTTATCTTTTGATACACTCCACTATCACTTTATTAAACCTTCCAATCTGAGATTGGTGGGCTTGTCTAGTGTCTAGTGATCCAGGAAAGGCAGAGGTATCCTCATTCATCCCTTTCCACACTCAGAAAAAGGTTTTCACAAACACTTTTGAGCTTTACAACAGCCCAAAAACCGCTAAAAAGCGCTGTAGTGCAGCAAAGTGGGCCCTTTTTTGCGGCCCACATGTGTAGCGTTAGCGGTGACGTGGCAGAAGTCTGCTGCGCTACGCTTAACACTAACGGGAATTCTGCTGTGTTATGCTATACTAACTGCTACGGTTAGTGTAGCGGCCCACCATTGTATGTATTACATGTAGTTCTACCCAGTCAAAGTTGGGGGTTCTTTGTAGAGAGGTTGCTCCTGACAGATGAATACTGCCACTGTGCAAGTATACACATGGAATAACCAGGGAGAATCTTTGCAACTTTACCTGTAACAAGCACAGCTTTATAGCCCTACACAATTCATTAAAAACCAGTGGGAAGCTAACAAAACCCATGGGATGCTTTGTGATAAAAGACACATACCATCTGATTTGTAATGCTAGACACACCAGTTGCAAAAAATGAAGGAGAGAGGTCAATACTGAAGCAGCTACAGTGACCCCACCATGTAAGAGTAACTCCACCACAGGCCATAAATTGGGGCTGTATGTGGAATTTAAGGACTTGACGCAACCCACCACAGTTGCTAAAATCTAGGACAGTGCCCACATTCTGATCTGGAGTCCTCACATGTAGGCACTTGCCTATCACCTACAAACCACATTTTCACACAACAACAACTTTGACATATCACTCCACTCGTGACAGCACACCTGTCATAGAATTTCACCAACCCCTCTGCCAACTTGTGGTGTATGCTGCAGCAGTTCAAGGCTGTAAAGCTGGCTATAGGTAGTCCCAAACATCATGCTTTAATAGCCTGAAAGTAGCAGTTGCTCTAAGCATAAGGATGTTCAAAAATGCTTGCATTTGACTAATTTACCAGCAAAAGAATAAAAATGGTTGACCAAATTTCAAATTTTTCCATTCTCACATAGCGGGTTAATGCTTACATTATGCTTTCATTGTGTATGCTTCTATTGCAGGGTCAGTGTAATTCCAAAATTTGAGGATAGCTACATGGCACACAACAAAGCCTTGTCTATTAAGATTCTGAATAAGTTCTGAGCTGTATTTGGAAATATAAAAAAATAATCATGAAACTCAAAATTTTTGTTGAGGAAGGAGGGCAAAAGACTGGGAGAAAATGAGACCTTGAGGAAAAAACGCAGAGGAAAAAAAGGGGGACAATTGAGAGCCCTCAAAGAGAGCTATAGAGTCTACTAGCTTGTGTGGTTGAAGGGCACGCATGCTACAGGGGGTTGTATCCAGTAGAGACCCCAGGGATCAGGCACAGAAGAACAGATGGTTTTCATTTTCTAACTCTGAAACATGATTATTTGACTACTACTACAATGTGAGGACTGAGTTGTGGGACAGAAGGTGAAAAGAATTTCTAACTGGAAAGGAGAAAAATGGAGTGACATAATTGATGTGAAATACAAAAGAAAGAGAGACAGGACATGAACATGAGAATTCTAATGATTGCAGATTGCCCAGCTGAAAGCTTGACCTACCCAAGCCATGGGGGTAACCTTTGCTGTAATTTCAGAGTTGGGGAAGATTATAACTGTTTTTAGGATGTGGTAATTGGGACAAGGCACACTGATTGCTAGATAGCTTGCTCAACACAGTAAAATAATTCCAAGAATCTCTCTCAGTCCAAATTCAAAACCAATCAAGTAAAAACAAAAAAATTAAGAGACAGAAAGCAGGGGAAACAGAGAAGAATATAAACAAAGAAAATACCTAGGTCAATAGAGTAAACTCAGTTCAACTTCAAGGATCTCTATGGAGCTAGCAGAGGCAACAGGGGTCAACTAGGATTGTCAAGTGTGAGTTGATTACATAACAGGCCATATTTGTTCTTCTGAAACATGCAATGAGGCAAGGGTTTCACAGGTACTCTTCTTCAGAGAAGATGTGTGCTAGGGTTTAGAATACTAAAAGTGTCTTGCCAAGAAAGCTGCAGCACTGGGGCATTTGAAGGTTATCCATCTATCCATCAACATCACACCCAATTAGTCAGCATATACCATTCTCAAAGGTCCTCTCTGAGCAACTTGAGAGAAGTCCTTCAAAGATGGTGTACACCTATTTTGCAACATCTCAAACTATACCTCTCCCTTCAGCACCCCACGCACCAACCATTTTTTAAAAAAAAACAGTTCCCTAACTCCTATCCCTATCCCCTAACCCCAACCCATATCCCTAACATTAACCATAACCATTATCCTTATCTTTAACACCTAAGACCTATTGAGGTGATCAAGAAGGGAGGGATCAGTTTTTTATTTTTTGAAGTCACACTTTGATCAGTTTGAGGGGACCTGGGGCAAACAATGGCAAGATTCACACGTTTGAGATGTTGCATTAAGGTGGTGTGCATCATCCTTGAAGGAGCGGTCTCACAGTCACACTGCTCTGAGAGGTCCTTTGAGGACAGTATATGCTGCCCTATCAGATGCAACATCAACAGTGTTTTGATCAACATCTATTTACGTAATCCATTGGCAAAACAATTGAAGACATCTTCATGCATTCATGTAATCAAGTTTAAGGAACACAGCCGCTTAATGTACTACTGCAGGCTTCCTTTCCAAGAAACCAGCCTCAATTCCCACACACACACACACACACCAGTTTTTTTGATCAACTAGCCCACTTTCATTCCCCTTCAATCCCCTCCAAGTATTACATAGGTCTGGACAAATGAGGCACCCCAAAAGATCTGGATTGGATAGAACAGTCTATCAGACCCTCAATGCCAACCAATCAATTGTGTCATTAATATAATTGGGATAATGCAATATGATCAACATGTTCTTTTTTTGGCAGAAAGAAAAAAGTGAGAAAGAAAAAGAAAAAATTTCTTTTATAAGGGATGATAAACTGGGTTTTCTTTCTCTATGTTTATATATATATACATATATGTATATTCATATCAAAAGAAAGGAGAAGGAAATAGTTACAAAATGGTTGTAGAGGAGGGTTCAGAACTTGAGGACAAGGGAAGCTCAACTAAAAAAGAAATCTGGAAAATTATATCAATATATGTATATGCCTACATATTACCTACATCTTCATACATATAGATCACATTTTTTTCCTCAACAAAATTTGAAAGAAAGGAAAAGCATGGAGGGACACAAGTATACTTTTCAGAAAAGAAAAAAAGAGGAAAAAAAGGTGTTTTGAGGACAAACAAACAATTATTAACATTAACACAAGTCAACACATGCATTTATTCAGTAGTTAGTGTAAGTAATAGTAGTTCTAGTTGGTAGTAGTTGTAGTAGTCATAGGAGAAGGAGAGTTTTTGGTTCATTTTGAATTGAGAAAATAATGAAGTAGGCAAAGGGAAAAAAATACAAAGAATGAGAAGAGTAGAGACAGAGAGAAAGAGATAATATGCTGTTGATTGATAAGGAGTGAATAGACAAGCGGATGATGATGAAGATGATAAGAGTATATAAGTAAACTAATTGGCTGAACGAAAGGTACTGAGGATGACTAACTACGAAGATTAAATACCACATTGGGCCTCTAAAGCATGTAAGCGAAGAAACCAGGGAGGACTATAAGAAGAGATCGAGATCGGGAAAAAATTAGAGTCATACAGAGAACCACAAGTGAAAAGATTGTAAAAAAGAGGAGAGGATAGAAAAGAAAAGATCCAGCCAAAACAGCCTTCTTCAAATGCTGCGACAAATTGCACAATTAGCTTCATCTAACGACCCCCTGAAGACGATCGGAAGGACGATCAAGGCGATTAGAGATCCGATCGAGAGCGCATAGAGTAAGCCGTAACTCGCTACTATCTTCCGACGTTGGGCGCGTTGCTTGAATGAGAAGATAGGCGGTCGGATTTGCTTGCTAGGTCTCAACCATACTAATATTAAGCCGAACAAAGTTAGACACAGCAAACATTTCTATCAAGAGATCTGACGTCAGGACTCACATAACATGGTCGAGTGTACTCGATTGGAGAATGGGATTAGTAGTGGAATCGATAAGAGGATCATGATGAAATGACAAGTCAAGAGATCTGCACTAAAGAGTGACATCTACGAATTGAGAAACATGATTTAGTTGAGAACGGTGGTCCAAAGCTTGAAAAATCGGAAGAGGAAGTATATGTCTTCAAACTTACCTCGACGATTTTGACCAAGAATTCTCTAACGGGTTGGGACCAAGCGTGACTACCAAGACCACGTCCATACCACTTCCCGGTCCACCAAGCCCTGTTAGTCTCATCGTGTTTGAACTCACGACTCAAGACGCAGGCTATCAGCATCTTAAATAATGCTCGCTGGATCGCAATCGTCGCGATCATCCCCAAGACTGCATGGGAGATGTTCCAAAGTTCAATGAACCACAGAAACTCAAAGAACCCAACCAGCCCGAGTACCCCCATAACGTGGGCAATGGCAGCCATCGTGGATCCAAACCTTGTACAGCAGGTCGATAACGCCGGGCCAAAGAAGAGGGAGGTCATGAATAGGATAAGCAGAGTGAGGGCGTTGAATGCGACTGGGCCGAGAGAAACGATTGCCAATCGCAGCAAAGCATTGACTGGCGGGTCGCTAAAGGACTTGACAAACCTGGTGAATCATATGTGAAGGTTAGTTGATGTATAACGATTTCACAAAAACTTTCATCAACTCAACATGTATGCGACCGATAAGATAATGGCCAAAAACGTAGGGGCCAGGATCTGTGAGAGTAGGATGACTTTCCATCCGGCTCTGGGAACATCAGCCGAAAGTTTCTCAGAGGGCAATCCAAGTCGTTTCTTCTTGAATCCGGTGATTTGTGTTCGAGAGAGTCGACAATAGCCAATCCAAGAGTTAGCATGCGAACGACTGTTACCTCGACACATCCATCTAAGAAACTCTCGATAGTCGATGATGAAGTCCGTGAAACTGAATTGATGAGGGTTGAAGATGAATGGGGCTAGACAGAGAGCCAGTACGGATACCCAAAAGTAGATAATCGCCGGCATCCATAAACTCATCGTCACATACAACAATAGGCAGAGTGTTCTCATCCCGAGATAAATACTAGGCCCAGCAAAACGAGAGTACAGAATTGCGAACGAGATCCGGGTGGTAGCAAACCCTCGTCCGGTAGCGATATAACGTGCGCCACCAAAGGTCATGTCCGTCAATAATGCATGCGACTGGATTTGAGTACTGAAGACCTCGAAGACTGGTGAACAGGAGCCCAGCTGCTTGCCGAGACGAATGATTGCTGAGATTACGCCTCTCTCCGTCAATTCTTGCAAGAACAGGGGCAAAAAGGCTGGATGAAAACACAATCAGTGAAGACTCTCGATGGCAGGCACAAGCTGATTGAAAAACAAATAACCAACCAATGAAAAATACGATAAATATAGACACGATACATCGTTTGATCCAGTCATACGTAGGGACAAGGTTGTAACAACCCGGGGATCCGACGAACTGGCCCTCCGAATTGTACTTACAAATAGTTAGTGAGCTATTGAGTGTTCCGAGGAACACCATGGTAAACATGAAACATTGAACAGCGAAAATAACCTGTGGATATAGAGGAATTAGTACGATGTGATCAAGAAGATGACGGGTGCTTTGCGGAGAGGACTCACGAGCATGTTGTTGATGAAGAATCCAGGATGAGCGTAGTAAAATGTCAAAAAACGATCTAGTGGGAGTTGAGTTCCCAGATAGTAGTACTCTCTGGACAACATTTGTTCACCCATACCAGTGCCGACCTTAGTTTGAAAGTTGAGAATCGTCCCAAAACCGAGATCTCGACCTTTACCACATTGATAGTACTCTGTATGCTTGATCCTACCACCTCGTCCAAAGGCGTTCATACCAGCGTAGATATCTTCGGACAGATGAAGACCTTTTTGTGCTTTTGAAACCCCACCACGTGTGGTCATAAAAATGGCGTTCAAAAAATCCGGATGTCCATAATGTAGTTTTCCGCCAATGAAGGAAAGTGATCGAGCAGCCAGGGTACCGAAGGTTTGCTCTTTGCCAGCTGCGACATCACCCAACACTCCGATGTTTTCCGAAAAGATGTATTCACGGGCACCAACGATAGCAACGGGAAATTTGCAGAATTCTTTAGCACCAGCGGCCGAATAAGGAGACTGATTGGAAACATGGAAATCTTCGAACTCTCCCAGCATGTTACGGATCTTGAGACATTCTTCGAGATAATTATCTTGATTGGCATCAATCAGTTGCACGTATTCACCTCGATGAAAGATAATTGAATGATTCTGATTGTCCGACTTTCCATCACCCAAAATCGGGTTACCCGGTAGTTCGACTCGGAACTTCGGTCGTCTTCGACCGTCCGGAAGAATCTCAGAATGACCATCAATCAGTGCGGAGTAAATCCTTGTTTCACCTCCTTCCTTCCTTTCGCGATCTTCTTCCAGATATGCGATCTGCAAATCTGGGTAGGCTCTTAGCAAGAATTCGGTGTTTTCGACCTCTTCCTTGCTGAATTTGGAGTATCGTTGCATAGAAACAACAAATCGGAATTTACGCCTCGACATTCGTTCCAATTCACGCTCAAGTTTTTCAGTGTTTCCACCGTACAGCTGAACTACCTCCGGGTTTTCGACACGATAGAGCAACTTGATGGCTTTGGAGTAATTCATAAATCCAGAGACTGTTCGGTACAAGGTCTGAGCTCTTAAAGACGCCCAAATGCGTGTTCGGAGGGTGTATTCAGGGGCGGCGGATTTGAATCCAATGGTGTAAAATGGAATGTCGTCTGTTTTCTTCTTCTTTTCAACCTTCTCATCGCTCGAATTGGTGTTGCCTTGACCATTTGCAAACGCGTAAGAGGGGAAGACGTTGGCTTCTTCAGCTAGAATCTTGGTGTCTCGAACAAAATTGTCCCATTCGACTGGATGAAGCTGTTTCAGATACTCTAGTAATGTGACACGGGCGTTTTGATCTTCTTCTCGAATGATTTCTCTCAAGGAGAGCAAAATTTTCTCAGAATAGTGAGGTGTCAAAACGGTGAAAGTGGGCATAGCATCGACCGGGAGTGGTTCAGGGATAGATGTTGTTCTGTTGGATGGGAATGAGATAAAATCAGCTCACATCCCATGCAAAAAGGGGAAGATTGAAAGACGAACAGTGATTGGGCAAAGAATGAAATTCTTCTTTCGGCTTCACTTCCTGGAGGGAAGAATTCCGACTTGAGTCCTTTATCCTCTTGAGAGATGAAAAACATCGGAGCCCGCAGCGTTCGTTTGCCTTCGTTCTCGCTAGGAACTTGGTGATATAGCAACCTTTGAACGTGATCGATACTTAGGAGATGTTCCCGATACATCGAGATTATGATGGCATTCCAGATTTGAGAGACCAAAACCTTGGGCTTGTATCGGGCTTGCATCTCAGACGTGGCTAGGACTTTGGCATAGATTCGCTTGGGTAGCCTTGTGAAAATGTCCGACCAAGGTGTCCAGATCGAGAGGCCCAAGGAAAACGATCTGGCGATGGAGAAAACCGTATTCCAGATAACATACTGTTCAAACGATCATCAAGTCAGCAACCTATAACTGGGCAAAAGGTGTTGTAATAAATGACAAACCCATAAGAATGTATCCAAGAAGAACAGGGTGAGATCCATGACAAACATCACAGTCAAAGCAAATGCAGGTTGATTACGACAAAGAACAGATCCAAATATCTTGTCGCTACAGCCTTGAACTTTCATACCAACCATGACCTGAATGGGATTCTCGAAACTGAGAGTCAAGAAGAAGTAGGATTCCACAAACTTGCAGGAGAACACGAGGGACCATAGTGCAATCGAAGCAGCTCGCGAGGCGTTTTCCAGCTTAGGATAGGATGCGGTGAAAGTTTGATTTGCTAGATACTTGCGCGCCTGACCGGAGACCTTATCGCCAAACATTCTGGCTGAAGGGACGATAGAAAACAAGATCGTGGCCACCACCGATATTCCAAACTGGACCATAGAGAGGATCCAAGCAGTAGAAGAGTCACGATCAAAGCCGGCAATGTATACGGTGGGTCCAGCGGTGAGAGCGAGGGTGAGCAGAAGGAAGGTGCCTCTTCGAGCGAGATGGGAGGTATTATTCCAGGTCGTGGGAACATATGAAAATTCAATCATGGTTGCAATGATCATGATTAAAGTTGATACGGCTCCCCCCAGCGCTACAGCGGACCATTGCATGGCTTTGGCTGGTGCTCGTTGATTAGGCAAGGTGTAGATAGAAGGTGCGCTAAGTTAACCGAAAGAGTGAAGTGGACCAATGAAAGACTTTGATTAATTCAAAGGTGCTTCGTGACTTCGAAGGCCAGACAATCCAATGTGCTTACTTGTAAGCGGTGAAATACCAATACACACTTATGTGTAATACCCAAATTCGGTTGAAGTTGACAATCATGTGTCCAAAAGATCGCTTTTCAAGATACGTTTTGAAGAACGCTTGACGCCACTCGATCTTATCAAACTTCATGTATCGCTGCGCAAGAGGAATATCTATCAATCGAGTCTGGCGTAAATGAGTTGACATGTCAGAAGGGTAAAGTCAGAGTCAATTAAGAAAATGTGAAAGCGACGAAACAAATGACTTACTCTGTCATTGAGAGTGATTTTGGCAATGCCTTCGGGGTACCAAAACAAGGAGTTAAAATCATCATATCCAATGATTTTCGTGGTGATCCCTTTCCCCGACGCAGATAGACACCATCAATGAATTCGTATCCTTGATCCCTGAAGAACCTGTACAACGGGCGTATGACGGCACGGAGATAGAGTCCTTCGGGGACAGGTTCGATTCTATTTTGACATTCACTCGAGCGGTAATAGTCGTCGGCACATTTGAAGATGAAGCACAAACACTCTGGCATGAATCGGACTTGAGCAGCTTCGCCCCAGCATAAGAGATAGAGTGCCAGCTGGCGCATGCGATCGTACGATGACATGTTTGACATTGCTTGGCGCCATCGATTACGAGCAGATTCGAGTGATTTGGCTGATGCTGATTTGAGCTTGGAAGCGGCGGTAGTACCGAGGATGGTATTGGAAGTTTGGCCAATGGCATCGTCAAGATCGAGTTGAGCCGCAAAGTACCATTTACGATAGTTGGCATGTTCTCCGCCAATGTAATCTGCATGTAGGGTCAACAAAGCTTGAGAGGGTGACATTCGAGAGGCCCTTGACTATATTCATGTAAACATAGGTGAGAAGCAAAGATTATTAAGTCAGTAGGGTGGGGGGGGGGGGGGGGGATTTGTTTGGCAGAAGTGCGAATAGAATTAAACCAACATCAAGTTGAATCATGAGATGATCGTAGACGTTCCTCATCGAATCCCGCTGGAAGCCAAATTTGTTTGCGAGGTCGATAAAGACATCTTCGATTTCCTCCTTACTCAAGGGGATCTGCGAGTCGGAG